CGCCACAATACCCTCTCCAAGAAGACCATTCTTCAGGGCACAGTGGAAGGTGGTCGCCGCCGCGGGCGTCAAAGGAAGAGTTGGACCGGCAATCTGATGGAGTGGACTGACAGGCCCTTGCCACAGCTCCTCAAGAGACAGAGACAGACATCAGTGGAGGGCATTGTCTGCTACTTCTTCCCTCATGTCTCCCCGACGGCCGAATCGGTTAAGGGACTAAATAAAATAAAAAAAAAACACTCCAGTCCAGAGTAAATTTCATTTTTGGGTGAACTATTCCTTTAACGGAAAAAATGGAGGGACGACGACACATCAACACCACCTTAGTACCAATCTTTTTTATTTTGAGGTAAAAACATCCCATAAATAACACTTCAAATTACCATTGCGTGGAAAAAAGACAAAAAAAACATCTCTCTCTTCTTTGCTCTTTTAATTAATATTTGTAAGTGTTTCACAAATATAAGCCATTTGATCGTCAGGCTGCGCTGAAGCAGCAGCAGTTCATCTCTCATTTTCTGCTGTGCTTCAGATCTTAGTGTGACGAGCGAGCGAGTGAGGTAGGCAGTCTGTTATGAATTTTTGTCTTTTCTCCATCTCGTGCTCTCTGTTTAATGCAGTGGCTGTATTAGTGTTAGCAGAGTGAATGCTTCGTGAGAACAGCTGCTTTATATCGTGGGGATTTATTGTGTCAGTGATCATTTATTCTGAGAGACTCTGGATGATCAATGGTGTGTGTTTGAGGAAGTGCAGGGGATCATTAGATACGGCTGTTTGTTTCTGGTACTTGTCTCTATCCAGCCGTGATCCATCCACATAACAAATAACGGCTGTTTGCGATGGATTTCTCTGAGAGTATGAAGCATCACTGGTTGATGGAAAGTGAGATGTTTTCTGTTCAGTTATTTGAGATTATAGTCTGCAGTTTATATTTCATAACAGGTACGGATGACGTGCAGCGAGATGATTCATGCTCACCTAGTGACGCGACTCACTGATTTACAGTTTCTGTTTTAATGTTGGAAAAAGGAAAATGGGGTCAGTTTGTGATGGCCGAAATGCAAATGTACTAATGTATTTTTGAATATGCATGATATTTATGAATTAATTTGTAAAAACAACTGTTCTTTATTACTAGACTAACAAATAGAATAAGCTTAAAGGAGACATATTATGCCCCTTTTTACAATATGTAATATAAGTCCCTGGTGTCCCCAGAATGTGTCTGTGAAGTTTCAGCTCAAAATACTCCACAGATCATTTATTATATCATTTTGAAAATGCCTATTTTGAGTGGAAGCAGAAACAAGCTGTTTTTCGGGCCTGTGTCTTTAAATGCAAATGAGCTGCTGCTCCCCGCCCCCTTTTCCAGAATAGAGCTGCGCCATTACAGCTCGGACCTGCTAAAAACATCTGTTATGGTTCTGATTATCATGTTTAGTACTGAAATCATGCGTTTTAAACCATATTAGTTTAAACTTCTGATATACGGTTTTCTGAGAGCACACATCTGAAGCACACGCACAGAAAGCGGCTGTCACAGCATGTGAGTACTAAACTAAGTTCTCATTCACACACAAGTTTACGTTAAAAACACACGAGTTACAAAAACAGTCGGTTATGTCTGTGAAGGTAAACAGCTGGGAAATAAATCGCATGTTTATTTTAGATCTAAATAGTGTTCTGTGCATCGCCTGTGCAGCTAAAGACAGAACAGTTAGCGTGTTTTGCTCAAACTTTCGCCATGGCATGAGAACTAATACACCGCTGTCGCTTGCGAAATCAAAATGAAGGCGCCGTGGGTGTAAACGTACAGATTAAGGGGCGGTAATATTATAATGAGATCCCTTTGCCACGTCACCAAGAGAGCGAGATCAGACGCGCTCGTTTTCTCAGACACTTGCAGAAAAAGGCTTATAATAGCTTAATGAAGAATTTGTGTGCAAATGAATATTTTCCACTTACTCTAATTATTAAAAGTGCATCTATTATGGCATTTTTAAAAAGCAGACTTGTGCCTTTTTCAGGCTCTGTATGAGAGATTTACTGCTTTTTCTGAAGAAATCAAATGCTGCTGTTCCAAAAATATCACCAAATACGAAACACAGTCGTCTGGCATAGTTCAAAGATAAGTGCAAAAAACACTTAAAAAAAAAAAAAGGGTCCTTCTTTAGAACAATTGAGAACCTCATTAAATAAAAATAAGCACGAGCACAGAGAAATTAATGAGGCTAAAAGTTGATGATAATTTGTATCCAGCATTGAAGAAGGTTTAATGAAGAAGGAATCTGATTTGTGTTATGATGGGATCTTAAATTCAGCTTATTAATCTTGGAGATGAATTATCAACCACAAAACAAGAAATTGCTAATATAGAAACATTTTGGTGTGTAAAGGAAGCTTTTCAAGCAATTCGAGCTGCAGAAGAAAATAAGGGTGTTATTTTTTTCTATGATAATTTCGTATAACCAACCTTTCATCAACGGCAGCCATAAAGAGATCACATAATACAGCTGTTGTCCGAACAACGTCCACAGTCAGCTTTCAAAGAATTACTTTACACTGTCATTGTATGCTTTCCTTGAAAAATTGTTGAAAAGAAGTGGAAATCTTTCATATTTCTAAAGCAGGGAAGGATCACAATGCTCATTCTAGTTCCTTGATGAGTTATGTAAAATGGTTAGAGAATGGTTAACGAATGACTTGTATGGATAATGGAGTCTTTTAAGTGATGCTCACTGTGGTTTTAGAAAAGTAAGTAGCTCTATAGATCACATCATCATCCTTGAAAATTACATAAATGATGTTTAGGAGCGTGTGATTGCTATTTTCTTTGAGTGTTTAAAAAAAATTACTTCAGCTTAGAAGACAGCTGCCTACTTTTATTGACAACATATCAGACAGACTTTTTAAAGTCGAAAGCAGATTGACATTGGTTACTCGTTCATACAGTCCTGGCTTCTTTTCACAAATTCAGTTTTGTAGTTTTGTATTTTCTCGTTTTTTGAGACAGTAACGGTATTGTTTTCAAAAACCTGCACTGCGAAACCTGTTTTCAGGCCCTCAAAATGTCATTGTTGTGTAAATAATCAGGTGAAGCGCATAAAAAGTATTCCGTTTTTCATTGAAAATGGTGTCATCGTGTAAAGGCCCCCTTAAATTGAAAAGGGTGAAATGGCCAGAATTGAGTGCCATTTTTTAATGTTAATTTAATATTTACTGTAACACTTTAGCATAGGGACCAATTCTCACTATTAACTAGCAGCTTATTAGCATGCCTATTATTAACATATTGGCTGTTTATTAGTCTTTATAAAGCACATATTCTGCATGAGCATATTCTACATCCATAATACCTAAACTTAACAACTACCTTACTAACTATTAATAAGCAGCTAATTAGGAGTTATTGAGGCAAAAGTCGTAGTTAATGATTTGTTAATAGCGAGAGTTGGACCATATTTACTATCATTTATTTATTTATGTGTTAATGATTTGTAAAGATGAAACACAAAAATGCCGTTATATTGTTTAAAAATGGTCAAATTGATCCAAATATGCTAGTTTATTCCTGAGAATATGCAAGGTAAGAGTCTGAGTCTGCCGTGTCTGTTAAGCTGCGTATGTTTTTGATATCATATATACCCAGAAAGACCAAACAGCTCCTTGGCGATATGTTAATTTCCATCAGTGACAAGAGGATTATTTCAGCGATTAATTCAGCTTACGCTGAAAGAGCGTAAGCCCTCAGTTCCTCCCCGTCTGCTTGTTTTTCCTGTCATTTATTTGTCTTTCTTTGAATAGGCCTCTCCTCTTCATCATGAGACATCTGCCTTTACACAAATGATATCAGTCACGATTAGCATAGCAGCGAGCATCTGTTTTTGCATCCCATTGATTGTATTGAAATTTCTTGCCGCTGGCACTGAATGTGGATATACAGTATTGATGGTGCTCTCAGGATAAACACACGGCATGGTCATACCTCCCATAATCCCCTGTGGCTCAGCCCTGCTCATTAACTCTACATCCAGATCAGCTCACCGATGTCTGCCAGAGAATACCTCTAAGTGCTTCTCATTCAATCTGAAGACTTGCAGAGATATTGAGTAGGGTTGGGTATCGAAAACCGGTTCCATTTTAGAACCGGTTCCAAATTTCCAAGAACCGGGTATTCGATAAGACGCGTGCATTTCGATTTGTTTGTCTTAATTTTTTTTTATATTGGATTTTTTTATCTTATTGGAATCGAAACTAGGAATCGATAAGAATCGGAATCGATAAGCGGAATCGGAATCGATAAAATTCAAACGATACCCAACCCTAATATTGAGTATGGTGCTGCCCTACTGAAGTGACATCCCCGTCACGAAGCACTGCTGAGGCCCCTTCACTTACTGTGTCTCCTAGGGAGCGAGCCGAGGGTATTGTTATGGGAATCCTCTTTGATTAGATTATTGTGTGCTCCCTCTCTCTCTGTCTCTTCAGAGATGGACTGCATGTATATTTCATGAATGTTGGTCGGGATGTAAGATTTGATCTCGCCGATGATTCTGCTGGATCATATTTTAAAAGGGGTAACGTTATTTGTATTATTTTCATCTCTTCTGTTTTGTCTGCTGTTTTTGCAGGTTGTGACAGAAGCCTGATGTTGCATTCGTGAAATTGTGACAAGCAAGAAGCATTTCTCCTCCTCCTCTTCATCAAGCTTGGCGGTGTCACACTGTATCTGGACAGCCCTGGTTTCATTCAGTGAGGAGGCGACTGAGTCGTGGACTGTTTTTATGGCACTTTGTTGAAGAGATTGAGCGAGCGAGGTGAGCAGAAAGAGCGAATCGCAGTCGCTGAGTGTTGCCGTGGCTTATGGCGGCAGGGCAGGATTGAAACGCATCGGCTCACTCTCAGTTCTGTTGTTGATCACTCTTCTGTCCGGTCAGAGATGGGCATCCTGGGGTGCGGCGTGCTCGTGTTTGCGCTCTTCTTTCAGTGCCATAGCCGCAGTGTCCAAAACCCCATGTTCAGGTTCAAGAGGTGAGACAGTTCAGTTCCTTAATGGATATTTAATGCTTTTTTGATCACACTTCATTTTAATGTGTCCTATTAATTACACTGAGTACTGAGTAAAAAATTCACACATTAATTACAGGTAATTTACTGTAGTTACTACATGTAACATGGACACAAGTAAATTGTTACCCTTTTTTTATTTTAACTTAAAGTAGTAACAGCATACAGATGCTATTATTTGTGTTGTTTTTGGTCATATAAAAGTGATCCAACAACAAGAGTTTTATTTTAGCGATGCACTGAAATGAATATTTTACACACTGAAACAAACAGAAACCAAAAATAATATTTATTTAATAAACAGTTTATTAATCCAAATTCAAATAAAAACTGAGCTACATTTAAATTGCACTTAAGGCAGTTTTATATCACTCCATTCTACTCTAATTTGTTGTTTAAATAGTGGCAATAATAGATTTATTTAAACATACATTAAATAAAAAATCATTAACAGTGCATATATAGTGCACTCTATATACCTCTCTATGTATTTAGTTATTATTAGAGTAATTTTTTTCTAGTTGATTCAACTTTTTGGACATTGATTATCAATTAAATGAATTAGATCAATTAAATTTGAGAAATTGATATAAACTCATGTTTTCCCACTGTAGCTTATCCACATTTTGTGCACGAATTAGACACTGGCAAAACACTCCATTGGAGAAGAGCTAATTAAATGTTAAGGAACATTTAAGGAACAGGAACTGCAGTCCAGTGGTTATATATTATATGATTTTAAAAAAAGAACCTTGCTACGTGTACTGCATTAAGCTAAATGAGACTTGTCATAGCACTTGCTTATCATTGCTCTTTTGTTGGTTTTGATTGCTTCCATTGTCCTCATTTGTAAGTCGCTTTGGATAAAAGCGTCTGCTAAGTGACTAAATGTAAATGTTATTGATTTCGGCCCCCTAAAACCATTTCAGCCAAAACGTTGATGCATTACCTTTTTTATTTATTAATTTGTTTTATTTTATGTGTTGAATTAGTTAAATTAAGGGGTGTTTACACAGTTCTGTTCTTTTCTAATCGGTCTGATTACACATGATGGATGATAAAACCGGTCCAAAAAAAAACAAAACACAAAAAACAGGGATCCTAGCCATATAGAATATAAAAAGGCCCTATGAAATTCCATTTAATCTTTTCGCAAACCTAAAATGAAATCTGCATTTTTAGCTTTAATTTTTCTGAAATCTGTTGTATGGTTTTAATACCATCAAAAAGTTTCTGTAATAGGACTGAACGATTTGGACACAGGCATATTGCAAAATATTGTCAAATAAAAGTGATATTCTAAAACATTGCAGAAGCAGGCATCACTAGTTCTAGGACAGGTTCATTGATTGTGCACTGTTCCAGCCAATTCAGTTTGATTTGGTGAACGGATTCAGCTATTTCACTGACAAGAAGAGGGGAAGTTTACAGGCTTTAAGAAATGTAAGAAAATTCTAGATTTTGATGAAAGTCTGATTAAGAAGTCCCAACTTAGGTGTCAGCCTTTTAAAGATGTTACTGTTGTTAATTTTAGTAAATTTATCTGAATGCAGACTCAGCTTAATATCGGTACTTTACTGTCAAATATGCATCCTAGCAACTCAGATAGCAACTCTTTTTTTGGTAACAACATTTTTTTTGGTAACAGGTTTCAGGACAATGCCTGGTCAGACCCCAATGACTGCTCAAGGACCAGACATCCATTTGTCCTGTCCAATCCTTACAACTTTTCCCTCGATATTCGCATACCAGGGGTGATTCCAACAGAGGTAAGAGTTATTTATGTATTTTTTTGTGATTTGTGCGTTTCCTCACATTTCCCCCTGCTTCATCTCCATTTAGTTTTCACCACAGTTTTGAAAAATGCTATAAAAGTGAGCGTGTTAGTTCGTGGAGAGGAGGGGAAGAGCGGAGACCAGCAGCACAATGTCTTCTGTTTTATTTCACTTTCATTGAGTTAAAAGCATCAAAGGTTCCCATAAACGAATGCTGCACTTCTTCATTCCCTGCATCAAAATGAACAAATAGTTTAAATAAACACATCCTGTGACAGCTATAATTCAATACAGACAATAAATGCACAACCGTTTGCATTTGTACTCTGGGTGGAAAATAGAAATAAGCACACTGTTGCTTATTCGATTAGTTCTGAGACTGTTATTTTGTGGTGTATATTCAAGGCTTTGATCAGTTGCATCGAGGAACTGTAAAAAACGGTTTCATGCATGTGTGGATGGATCACATTTGTGCTGGATACTCAGGGTCTATGGAGGAGAATTCATGCCAAGCGAAAACAAACACTCAGTGCAATCAATAAACGTGTCTATCCACTACTGTACACAATCTTAGAGTTTGAAGCATCTGTCATAGGAAATAAACACATGCTGTTATGAATATTTAAAAGAATCGTCTTCTTATAGGATAATGACACACAGTCTCATGACTAATTATGAGACACAGATGAGTCATCAAATGTACTGTAGGGATAATGAAGATTTTAAACCCACAAGACCAAAATTAACCAGTTTTCTCTGAAATTAATGGATTTTAACATTGTTTTATATGATGTGCAGCAAAACACCCCTTTTAACGTCTCAAGTTTTGTAGTGCAGTACTGTTAAAAAGATTGTAAACCACATTTGTGATGTTTTATTTGATCTTCAAAGGCATCCAGATGCATAGAGGTTTAATTTTTAATGTCTTGATATTAACAGTTTTCCTGCAGGGCTAAGGTCTGGGCTGCATCTCCTCACACTTTGTAATTATTAGAGCTGTAGTCATTGCTGCAGTTTTAAGCTAGTTTTCTGTATAGCTGACAGTGCTGAATGCACCGAACCTTGTTACTCAGGCAGCTGGAGAAAGAGAGAATTACAGCAATCACAAGCAAGCCTAAATCTGAATGACTGAAAAACAAGAAAATTACAAGTACTCCAGTCTTCAGTGGAAACATTTCTTAAATACAGTTGTGCTACTTAATATTTATGTAGAAACCATGATATACTACCAATCAAATGTTTGGTTTGTTTGTGTTTTTAATAGAAATAAATGCTTTTATTCAGCAAATTTGCATTAAATTGATCAAAATTGATAGTAAAGTATGGTTGCTAAGAGGCGTAAAAATTCCAGTAAATTTCCAGAATGGGAAGTTAAGTTGGGGAATTTTAGAAATTTTGGAATTCATGGGAATTCATTTAAAATTTGGAGTAATTTATACAGACTGTATCATAAATATAAAAAGTCTGTTAAAAATGTCAGTTGACGCACGTGGCATTGTTCTGCAGAATAAGATTAAAAAAAATTTAAAAAAAAAAGTATCACAGAATTTTGCAAACCTACAGTAAATACATTTATAATGTTACAAAATATTCTATTTTAAATAAATGCTGTTCTTTTGAACTTTCTGCTCATCAAAGAATCCTGAAAAAATGTTTCCACAAAATATTAAGCCACAAAAACTGTTTTTAACACTGATAATAATAATAATAATAATAACCAAGCACCAGTAATAATTAGGAAAGCAAAGCATATAGTACTTCAGTACTTGGTCAGCTTTTGTAAACATGGTCTGATGATCAGTAATGAATGTGTGTATGGAAGTGCCTAATAAGTGTTTGTTTCTTATCAGTCTGACAGCTACTACTGTATGGCTGTTCCTGTCCCCACGTCACAGGAGGCCTACATAGGTGAGTACATGATCATCAACAATGGGAAATCACAGAGATGTGTAGTCTTTACTAAATAAACATCCAAAGCCAAAAACATGAGAGAACAAGAACTAAGACTCACCACATGAATCGTCAACGAACCGATAAAACTTGAGACCGAACAAGAAAGTCATGAGGACGTAAATACACAATGAATGAAACCTGGCCTCTTTATTCTAATGAGTGCATGTGCACTGTACAAGGAGCGGCCGCTGAATACTTTTGTAACGTATAATAATAATTTTAGTAGGGATGGACAATTTACAATATATATATATTAACACAATAAGTCAGTATGTCAACCAAGTAATTGTTTTCCTGCAGTGCTACACCTTCAGCGCCACGGAAATTGAAATCATATTTTACCTGAGTTGTGGATATGAGATTACAGGCTGAATTGCATGCGATGAGATAACAAGACAGTGCATGCCTTTCTATAACTGTCCCGTCCGTTCGAGCTGCGAGCACAAACAAACACATACAGTGCAAGCATTGTAGTCTGATTGACTGGAAATGACTCATACACTGGAAATGGGTGTATTTGATGAATCATTCAGAAAGTAAATCATTCACTGAGGGAACCCGCTGAATCAAAGCAGTTACTTATTAAACCGCATGTTATCATTACTTTGAGCGATATCCATCTTGAAATGAAGCGTGTTTTGTGTACTGAGGGTTTGTGGGATTTCAGTCGTTGTAATCGCTGACTGGTTGTGAGGAAATCTTCAGCTGTCCATGAATGTGTTGTGTTTCGTTGTGGTGGTCTTTAGAGAAGGCAGGCTGTAGTTTGCAGAGTAACAGGTCCACCCAGACGTCTGCATGTATCTGAGAGTTACATTATCTCTGTCTTGCTACTGCCATCAATCAACATCCCATCTATTATTCATAGCTTCAATAGAGAGAGAAGCCTTTTCTGAAGATATCCATCACTTTTTATATAGGTAGCATATTGATGTTCATTGTGGTTTATGCTGAGCAAACAGCATTCAGCCTTTCAGACTCTTCAGAGGTTTCATGCAAATTTTTTTTTATTGTAAATAAAACACTTTTAAATAGAGCTGACTTTTCAGCTGTTTGTTTGCAGAAATGCTACAACACCGATTTATCAAGAAACAGTTGATTCAAGATGCTTACCTTACCATCTTACTGTGTTAAGATTTCATTCCTGACTTTAAAACACTTTTCTCTTCTCAGTGGACTTTGTTCCCCATGCCACTATGGACACAGCCCACCACATGATTTTATATGGCTGCAAAACCCCTTATGCCACCCAGGGATATTGGTGAGTCACGTCTGACACCTTGAGAACTACAGTGACTGGAGGATATTTAATGCTTAAAAGTTTTCTTCTTTCTCTTTTAATTTCTTTTTTATGTTACCAAACTTTTCTTTTTCCAGCTTATAAAAACATTTTCAGGCTGGTTGGGATGCTCAAACAAAAAGACCATACATATTGTACAGATACGCTAACATTGAAAAATGAGGGTCAGTTAGTTACATTATCGTTCAAAATATATACAGTATATGTGACCCTGGACCACAAAACCAGTCATAAGGGTCAGTTTTTTTTTTTTTAATTGAGATTTATACATCAAATGAAAGCCTGAATAAATAAGCTTTCTATTGATGTATGGTTTGTTAGGACAATATTTGGCCGAGATA